TGATCCAGATCCAAAAAAGTAGGATCTTGGACTAACAACTTCTCATACTTCATTTATTGAAATAATTATAAATATGTAAGTATAAAAAAAAGCTTCTTGGAAAATATGAAACTTCAGGATTACAATGAAAAGCCAGAATTCAAAATTTAAGTTTTTGACCAGTCATTTGTTTGACCGAATCGATCCATGGATTTGACTAATATGCTCAGATTAGGCATTTCAAATGAATTTTTTTTTACTTAAATTTGTCTAAATATTTGGAGCTAGTAGCTAAAATTTTAAGTGTTTTTACTTATTACTTAGTCATACTCTTTAAATAATTTAAAAATTTTGTCAGAGGGTAATAATCCCCCCTCCCTTGTGTCTGCGATGGGTTAAGGGGTATGACGGGTTTTAAATTTTTAATTAATGATTAATTGCCTGATTTCTATGATTTTTTTGATATATATTTATTTCATATTATAGAACCACAGTTCCTGATGCAATAATACGAAATCTCAAAGAGCAACTCGCAACAGTTTTTGCCAATTACTCGTGGGCGTGCGTCAGACGAAGTCCTAATCAGAGCGGCCTAGATAGGAAGAAAAAACAAAAGTAATCAGCAACGCAATTGTGATTCTGTAATAATGATAATATGTGAAAAATTTCTTTTATACAGAATGAATTTTTTTTAATAAGAAAATGTTATTTCAAACTTTAACTTACCTATTATCAGTAATTAAAAAGAAGAACAGACGTACTTTCCTTCCAATCAAAATAAACACCTAACTTCGTATGTTCTTAGTTTGGTTATTAGATTTATGATATTAATTATAAAATAATAAATGTTATGGTTCTTATCATTGGCGTATTAAGACTTTTCAGGGCCCGGAGTCCTTTTTAACGTGCCACAGCATAAAAATGACTAAAACAGTAGAAAAAGAAAAAGGTCCGCTTAATAATTTCGGAATCCCGAAATTTTAGGGCCCTAGCCCCTTCCTTTTTAATCTATCACTGGTTCCTATAGGAACCAGTTCTGGATTGAGGGGGAGGGCTAGGGCCGTATATATACGAATCTAAAATTTTCCTTCAGAATCCTATAAGAATCCTGTTAATCCTGCAAGATCTTTTAAAATATTTTTGTAGATCTTATATTATCTTATAAGAATTCCTTCAAATCCTAGAAGATCCTTCAAAAGATTCTTGTAAGTCCTGCAGGGACTTGTGCATCTCATCCTATAGGATTCTTGTAGGATTTGTAAGATCAGTCGTCTAGTGTAGATTAGCAAACTGTGGTAAAGCTTTAAATTTTGTACTTTGGACCCTTCAGAGTAAACATAGGAGTATTTTTATTAGTTTTTTGAAGTTTGTATTGGTAGAAACGAGTTCATTATGATATTTTTTAAAATACGCTTTTTATTCCCCACATTTTTGTGCACATGCAGGTTTTTTCTTTGCAATGCGATAACTTTAAACTATTTTCACCTACCAAATTAACACACTCAAAATACTTAGTATTGATGAATTGTGGTGAAAAAACATGCGTCAATATGATAACTCTTTAACAGTATGTGATAACTCAGATAAGCTTATAAACATTATGGTTATAAATATATGTCTAGAAATCAAAAACACATATATATTTAAAACATACAACATTACTCGTTGATTCAATAAATAATAGCAAAGTGGATGTGAGTATAAAAAAAATTTTTATACTGTTTTACACAAACGTAAAAAACTTAATGGATTAGCTAACATTAACTAACATATGCAAGTTAATATGCTTAATGAAACTTTATGGACTAATCAGGGGCGGATCCAACATATTTTTGGTCATTTTAGATAGGTAACTCCAAACATTTATATGTTTAAATTTATGTCAAATAATGATGCTTTGTCAAAAGTTGCGATGATAAGAGCCTGGGAAAAAAATAGCCACAAAATTTCTCCCCCTGTCCCAAACGTAAAAGCAATAAGTAGATAAAAACCTTTTGTACAATTTTCAATTAGACTCAACAATGAAACCTTCATGGATGACTAAAATGCTTCAAAATATGATAAAGTTAAAAAAAAAAGTTATGATACAAATGCAGACATTCAAGATTTAAACAATCATGGTAAATGACAATAAAATGAATAAAAATGTGAACAAAATAATTAATAAAGATATAAGAGTGAGCTAAAAAACTCAAAAAACAACTCTAAAATTGTTTATTCATATTTAAACTTTAGATGAACTATGTTGCAAGTTTTATGGTAATGATTTTTACTCTAACAATGATGTAAAACATTTCTTTATATTAGAAAACAAACATTTTTTTTTCCAACAAGTGGAGTACCTCAGGATTCAGTTCATGGTTCACTCCTATTTGTAATTTATATAAACAACTTTAAAATAAGTTTATTAATTAAATTAGAACTATTTGCAGATGATGACAAAAATTATGTCAAAAATTACTAATTAAAGTAAAAACAATGCACTTTTGTTATACTGGTCTAATCACAGTTGTTAAGTAAGTGGTCGGTTAAGTTTAATGAAGATAAGTGCAAAGTTATGCATATTGGTAAGACAGAAATTGAAAAAAATTTAGGTGTTAGTAAAATCAAATGACCACAAATGAGAAAATTATTTTAAAAGTGTTGCAAGTAAAGCTAGTTGTTAAAAGTGATGCAAATAAAGCTGTTGTTAAAAGTGTTGCAAGTAAAGCTATTTGTTAAAAGAGTTGCAAATAAAGCGTGTCGAATTTTTTTTTTTTTTTATTTATGGTTTTATGATTTAATTTGATGCAAGCAAAAATACGTTTAAAAATAGAATAGACAAAATTAAAAACTTTTGATACGAAACTTTATTTGCAAACTATTTTTATTAATGAAATCTTATATTCAAAGGTTGTTTTAGTTGAAACACTATGTAGTTTTGACCTAAACTTAAATAGTTTGTACAACACTTTATAAAATATGTATATATTTGATTACAAATTATTTTTTAATTCCTTTCTAAATAGGTACCAAAATTCCGGAACGGTCGGAATTTCGGTCGGACTTTGTGACTTTTAGGACCTAAGAGTCACAAGCTTCCGGCCGGAATTTCAATATTTTATGACCGGAATTTACTTTTTTTACCTTTTTTTCCAGACATGTGACACAGACTGTGTAAATTTATTCAAAAAAATCATTGTCCTACTGGGCAATGAACAACTATAGGTAAACCTAGGTAAAAAATACAAAATTTAACACAATGTAACTTCTTTTGCAGTAATCAGTTATGTAAAAAATTTTAGGGGTTTAGGAATATTGTGGTGCAAAAAGAGTTGCTATCTAGTTTTGGGCATTAAACTAGTTTATTTTAATACAGTAAATTTTTCAATTTAACCGAATTCGGTTAAATTAAAAAATTTCCGTTTCGCGAAACGGAAAAATAAAAAACATAGAAATAATTTTAAATACAAACAATATTTGTAGGTTAAAACTTTAAATAGATAAAATTATAAGAAACAAATAAAAACATTAGATTTAAATGAAACAAGAATCAAATTAATGAAATATGCTATTTATATATTATAAGTTATAAATATATATTATGTAGCCATGATTCTGAGGTGCAGGCTTGCACTTTCAATCTTAAAGGTAAAAAATGACATTAATATAATTCTTGTTCCCGCCGGAATTTAATTAAGAATTCCGCTGGAATTTAATTAAGAATTTCGTCAAATCCGGTTCCGACTGGAATTCAATTTTTTTAATCTAGAACATCTCTTAAATCAACGAATCATGAATCTATTATTTATGCAACTTGACTTTTTACTTAATAAAGTAAAAAGTAGAAATTAAAATATTGATTTCATGATATGTTTTGCTATAAAATATTTCTCAAACACTAAGTAGGGGGTGGCTGGATTTGAACTCGCTTTGCAAAACAATCCAGGTTTTAACATTTTAACCAACTGAGCCACCCAACAATGTCGGGAAGATCTATGACATTTTGTTAATTTCTACAAAATATTGTTGTGTAAGATACCGGAGTAGTACAATATTGGAATAGATTTTATGACGCTTAATAGACGGTTAGAACTATGCATTTATTTTTTTAAATTTTAACCCACCTTCTTAAGGCCATGAAGACCACTCAGTCGAGGAGGCTGCTTTAGTTGTGGTTACGATCCTCTCTCAAGTCTATAACTCCGAAACAAGAACTTTGATGAACAAGGTCGCTGCGCGGAGAAGCAAGTTGGGTGCGGCACTAAAAAGGACGTGATAGGGGTTGAACTCGGAACTTCTTGCTTATGAGGCGAGCGCTCTATCACTATTGCATTAAATATTGAGTCTTTGTTTTGTCATAATGAATTTTATCGAGACCAAAACTTTTAACTACAATGAATTGAATGAATTATTTGGATTAAAAAATTTATCTTGTTCAATTACATTTTAGTTTCTTACTAAAATTATATAAGTAACTACTTTTGCTTTTTGAAGCAAAATATAACTTTTATAACTATTTTTTTTACGATAGACGTCTATTGCTTGGAAATTTGACTTGTGTATTTGACGTAACTTCGCCGATTTACGATAGACGTCTATTGCTTGGAAATTTGACTTGTGTATTTGACGTAACTTCGCCGATTTTCAAAATTTGCGCTAGTTTTGGAGTAGTCGAATTCATATTCTATAAAGTTCATAAATTTTTAAAGGATTAACCCTAGATCTAGTTGTCAAATGTTGCAGATTTTATTACCGATTCAAAGCTAGCATGCTACATTTAAAAACCTTATTTTCCTTCTCTTGTATCGATACGATCGATACATTGCAATTTCAACAGAAAATCGAGTAAAGCATTAGAGATATCTGGAAAAAAATTTGTCTTATTTAGCAGGTTCAACCAACTCTTTTAAAGTAAAAAAACTATTGCTCAATATCTTGCTGCAACAACGATATTCAGATCAAAAATATTTCTGATCTTCTGATCAAATCCATTTTAGAAATTATTTTTTGTTTTTTAAAATAACTCTAACTCAAATTAATTATGAAATCTTTAATTTTTCAAAATTTGAAAATTAAAAAATATATATACTTTTCATCACTAATCTTTAATGAGTATTCCAAAGTAATTATATAAAAAAAATTTCATTCGCATAAATATAATATACAAAATATATTCAAAAAAGTTACTTTTATAAAGTTAAATTTCAATTTATTAAACTTACTATATAAATATCTGAAACTTATGTTTATCTTAAAAAATAATTTTATTAAAAAAAATCTTATTGAAGCATTTTAATGCGATTCATTTCTTTGATTGTTTGAGCTGGTAACAAAATACGCGGTACAACTTGCACACAAACCAAGACAGCATGTACATACACAAATCAAACCCATTATAATGTAACTAAAGGTTATAATCCAAAACGAGAACATATACAAATTCTTGTTGCAGTAATTCATGGGTTCATGTGGGGGTGGAACAAAATAAGGTTTATACTTTGAGTAAACCCAAATGTTGCCAGCAACAAACCACGTAAATAAAAATAAATTAAGAACACTGTCAATTAGCATCCATGCAATAGGAGTTTTTTCAGGCAACTCATCTGAAACTGCATCTTTAGAAAACGAGTCTTCCCCATATAAAACACGTTGAATAATAATAACAATAGTTTTTACAATGCCAAATGATCCTCCCACAATTAAGTAAATAGGAATAAAAGGTTCAATTGGGCAATCATCTTTGTATAAAGTACCTAAAAAATAACTAATATTTTAGAAAAAATTATTAAATTATAAGCTAGCAATTAAATACTTAATTTGGTAATCAATATATTGATAAACTTATCAATCAATCAATCAATCAATATATATATATATATATATATATATATATATATATATATATATATATATATATATATATATATATCACAGTATTATAAAATAGGTTCTAACTTTAACTTTCTGATCCGGGAAAACCCTTTGGTAGAATGATAGCCCTTACTATGGGGATCACTTAGATATAAGTATCAAAATCAGATTACAACATCCTGGCAAGTTATTTACATTTGAATTTTCATCCCAGTCAACACAAAATGTGTTTTAAATGTTTAATATATGTATTAATACGTATTAAAACGTATTATAGAGGTATTAAACACGTCTTGTGTTTAATATAATATTTTATTGATTGCACAAACATGCGAAATGAGAGCTTATTTTGCTTTTTATAGTGTTAAAAACCTCCAATTTACATCAATATAAACAAGGAAAGCAAAATAACATTTTCTTGAAGTTATACAAGTAACAAACATAAAATTCACAAAAAAAAATTTTTTAAATGGAGCAAATTCAAAAATAATTCATTCATAAATCCTTTCTTAAAATGACTTTTCACAAACAATGTTTACTATTGAAGTCAACAATGCAACATTGCAACTTCTTACTGTATTCTGGATGATTGGGCCTTTTGTACTTTTGCCAATGTATCTGAAAATTGTGATGCATTGCTTCTGCTGCCTGTTTTGAGTAAAACCCAAGAACTTGACCATTTCTGTATATGAAATCTTTTACATGAAAAAATACTGCATGGACCTTGGGTGTTACAGGCACATTTTGCAATGCCAGATAAGACACTCTGAATGCTTCAATTATTTGTGGGTAGTTTGGATTAAGTTTGCACCCAAAACAGCCAGACGCTACTGCATTGAATTTTCGAAAAGCATCAATGAATGGGATGGCTGCATAGCATAAGTGTTTCTTAGCAATTGATTGAAGAATATTGATATTGTGTAGCAGCTTTCTGGACACATTTCCTGCAAAATGCCCACCATGGTAAGGTTGTTGTTTAATGTGAAATGCATCAGTTAAAAGATTTGCTTGAGAAAAAACTTGAAGTAGTGCAGCAAAAAGATGATTTAAAACTTCAATTAGGAGATGCAATTCCATGGGAGGAATTGCATCTCCTTATTGGAGATGCAATTCCTCCCATGGATTTAAATAAAACCAAACTGTCTCCAAGTAAGATTGAGACATTTTTTTCCAGAGAATTTTAAGTCCTCAATTTCCCTTGATTTACAAGTTCTTTTGAACCAGATTCACACAAGATGCAGGGATGTACACTTGAGTGTACTTAAAGCGCACAAAAATTATTTGCAAGTTTTTGATCACAGGACATGACAAACTACTGGTCTTTCAATTTAATCAACTCAAATACTTGCAAAATGTTAATATAATTTTCTTGAAGCTCCTCAGAGACAGCAATGATGAGTTGCTGTTTTACACTAGTGTTCTTAAAAACCTTGCTTGTGCAGATAAGTTTTGCAGGAGGAATGCTAAGCTCATGATTTATGATTATATGATTACGACAATAATTCCCAGGCTAACTTTCAGAAACCTACCTCCTTCGTCAACTCCAACCTTTACAATGTAATTTTTGATGTACTTCTCATGGCTATAATTTCATTTTTAAGCTCATGGAAAACCTTGCAATGTATGGCAGTTCTCACACATCTAGCGTGATCTTGAATGGATGAACTAGTTGTCTAGCTGATGACAAAACCTGTAGTGAACGCAAAAAGTTAAAAATTTAACCTGTCATTAATTTGAACTATAAAAAACTAAATTAATACTTGGTGTTACTGGAAGCATTCTTCCACCATAAGGTTGTGTTAATCGAACAGTTCCATGTGGAGAAGGAGCTTTATTCAAAACAACAAGAGCTGCAATTCTTTCTGATGCCAAAGGAGCCTTTGTTGCAACAGCAACAAGATTATTTCTCAAAGTGCCTTTTGTGCAGTTGTGAGGCAAACTTCTGCCTATAATTGAAAAACAGTCTGAGCATCTTTTTTCTACTGTTCTAGGGTGTTCTAGCTGCTGAACTTTGAGCGAATTCAATTTTTATTTGACAATTGTGTCTCAGTTTTCCAATTGAACAGATCAAGCAGTCACAGCAACAGTCTCAAGTTTCTGGTCGAAATTTTATATTCTCAAATTTACACAATGATGGGAGTGTGATGTCCTCTTCACTTTCCTTCTTAAACAAGAGCGACATTTTTCAAAAATTATAAGTAGAACTTTCGTCGATTTTCTCTTTCAGTATAATCTTTCTTTTGATTTGATGTTAGCTCTTGTTGACATTTACTAAAACAATGAAATCAAACAGTTTTTAGCAGTGTTTTTAGCAGTGTTTGGCATTTTCAGTAAAATTAGATGTGCTCAGTTTAGCTCTCATCAGTAAAGTAAAAACAACATGCTTTTTTCTAGAATTTAAAAGTTGAAAATTGTTATAATTAAATACGTTTCATATCAATTTAAACAAATTTTACAAACTAATCATAGTTTTGGGCTGTAGAAATGCAAAATAAGTTGTCATTTCACATGTTTGTGCAATCAATATACTTTCTGTTTGTTACTTGAATAATTTCAAGAATATGTTATTTTGTTTTTCTTGTTTATATTGATACAAATTGGAGATTTTTAATACTATAAAAAGCAAAATAAGCTCTCATTTTGCATGTTTGTGCAATCAATAAATTATTCTATAAAACAAAAGACGCATTTAATACCTCTATAACACGTTTTAATGAGTATTAACACATATATTAAACATTTAAACACATTTTGTGTTAACTGGGATAAAAATTCAAATGTAAATAACTTGCCAGGATGTTCTAATCTGATTTTGATATATTCAAGTGACCACCATAGTTAAGGCTATCATTGCACCAAAGGAGTTTCCCGGGTCAGAAAGTTGAGGTTAAAATCTATTTTATAACATATTTTATATATATATATATATATATATATATATATATATATATATATATATATATATATATATATATATATATATATATATATATAAAGAATTAAAAACTATTGAACCACCTATAATAATCATTGATAAAGGTAAAGCCAACAAAAGCATCAAAGATAAGGTACAACCAACTGAAATAAAAATAAAAACCGGTAAGCATGTTTAGGAAGAAAAAAAAACAAGAAAAAAAAAACAGCACCTATAAAATAAATTGTAAATATATATAGACATGTATACATACATACATACATACATACATACATACATACATACATATATATATATATATATATATATATATATATATATATATATATATATATATATATATATATATATATATATTGTTTTGTGAATTCTAAAATCACCCTTTTTTACGCACATGTCCCTGCAAACATTCCTAAAACTTTTTTTAAGCACTCAAGAGAGCAAGAACTAGAGTGAGTGTCTTTAAATTGGCCAAATATTGAATCATATGAAGGTGGCAATGATGCACTTTGGTCTTGAGAAACATTTTCTTTGATTTCACAACTTAGTTCACTGAAAGATTTTTCAAACAACTTTTGCTGCTTTGTTTGAGGAAAACCAACCGCATGCCCCAATTGCATGTTAAAACATGGCTGATGTAAGTTTAGTCACACTGGAATTAAATATTTCAAAAAATTTCATTTCATTATGTTTCGTATTTTAAATAGACTACACAATTTTAATTAACAAAACAACAAAAAAAGAAATACATACCTATATCAGATACAAACATACATAAAAGCATACACACTTTCATGTATATATATATATATATATATATATATATATATATATATATATATATATATATATATATATATATATATATATATATATATATATATATATATATATATAATGATAATAATACAATACATAATCAATACTACATAATCACTAGAAAATAATCATAGAAAAATAATGTAAAAATACAAATCAATAACAATTTTTTTTATATTTGACTTATTTTATTTATAGGGAGTATTTATAGGTAGACATTGCAATTAGTTTTTTAATTGGTGCGAATTTCTAAAAACAATTAATTGAAAAATTTCATAAATATTATATAATTCATATGTTATTTATAAAAATCTTTAATTTATCGTTTTTAAGAAATTTGCACTAATTAAAAAACTAATTGCATATGTCTAGACTACCTGTGAATAAAACTAATCACATATTAAAAAATGTCAATAATTGGTATTTTTACATTATTTTTCTATGATTATTTTGTAATGATAATGTAGGGTTGATTATGTATTGTATTATTATCATTATTACTACTATATATAATGTATAATAAGATTATTATTAATATATTTATAAAATTTAGTTTCTAAACTAAAACTGAATATTTTAATACCGTATTTTAGTTTCACATATATTTAAAACATTTTACTATTTAAGTACTATATATTTTACATTTATTATTATTAATGTATTTAAAATACTATTAAAAATAGATTATTATTTTATATAATAATATAACAATTATATATAATAATCTATATAACAAAAAAATATAATCTAGATATATACAATAAATTATAGAAGCTTATAATTTTATTCTTATTGATTTTAAAATTCACTTAACTGTACCTAAAAAACTCAAGTATCTAAATATTTTCGACGTGTAAATAAGGGCAGACCCCCGTTGATAATATTTGGCATGTCAAAAACGCGAATGATAAAATAAGCAAGCACTCAAATAGGCTGAATAATGTTGCGATTATACAGATACACTGTAAAAAGTTACGTACGTCTATTAACTTAGTACTGAAGTACCTTAGAAAGTAGTGGACAGAAGTTCAAAATGATAAAGTGACAAACTTTTTATAATCAAACAGAACTATTATTATGCAAGCTATTTTATTTTTGACAAAAAGTAGTAATTATTGGTTAGTAATTTAAGTGACTAACTGACAACGGACCAAGAAACGGTTCAAACATACCAAGAGAGAACAAATGATATCTTAGAATTTAATTTAAAAATTATCTCAATAAAAGTATTTTTTATTATAAAAATTAGTTTATGGCTTGCGGTGGCCAAAAACAGTAAAATAATATGTTTATTTTCAAGTTCATTAAACCACCTTGGATTTTTTGATTTTTTAATTGTAGTTACAAAAACTAAATCTAGGTTCAGTCTTCTAGATTTATATCATTATTATAGCAGACAGTTGTTATCTAAGCTAACGTCTGACACTTCTTTACTTACTAAATCCAAAATTCAATAAATGCACAGTATACACGCGACAAAGGTCAATAAACTTAAAGGAAGCAAAAAACATACTGAGACAAAACAAATAAATATGACTTTAGTTGACTTACTGACAAAGTTTAATAATTTTTATAAACCGAAATAAGTGTTGCATAAAATGCTTTTCATACCTATTAGTTATTCCATTACTGAATTTTTTTTTGTATTAGTTATACTTTATATTGGTAAAAACATTACAACAACGGTATATTGTTAAATACGATGCAAGGTTGTAAAAAACGCAATAGACATTTATTTGACCTTATGTGATTAATTGTATAATAGTTTTTTAATTGCATTCATGCATATTCTTAGATGTTTATAGACCTACTAAGTTTTGTATGATTTCTTTTCAAAAGAAGACATTTAAGAGGACAAATAGAAATTTAAAAAGTCGATGTCAAATGAGGACTAAATTTTAAAAAAAAAACTTTTCGCTTTTAAAGAACTTGATTAGTCACATTAAAAATACGTTAAAATTGGTAAAAGATTTTTAAATTTTTTTTTGGTTTTAGTTATGTTTGATAAAAAAAAAAGTTTACTTAAATGTTTTTAATTTTGCAATAGTTTAAAAGAAGTCCATTTTTTTTGGAACTAGTTTTTTTGGAACTTCTAGCTTACTGAGACAAAAACCACTAATTGAAGTTAATTTAAGTGCATATCATGGGTATAGTCGCAAAGAAGTTAATTCAAAAAACTGGCATTTTTGACTTAATGATGCAGTATTGTAAAATTTACAACGCTCTACAAACTGGCAAAATGCACGTCGAATGAAACATCTTTTCTCTGGTTATAAACACGGTTAGCACGGATACCTATAATGCCTACCTAGCTGCCTCAAGAACGCCTGTTATACGGAAAGTTAGCGTAAACATCAAGGTACTCTGTGATGCAAATTTTCTAATCATTTAATTTTGTCCGCGAAAAATAATTTAATTTGAATGTTCAAATTAAGTCAAGTTTTGACTTTATAGTGCGCCAATAAAAACACTTGTAGAATTTGAACCACTCAATATAATTTGATAAAAATTGGTGCAATTGTAGCTAATAGTCACACCAAACTCTGGACAAAATTTCAGCCTGATTGGATGACTGGTGTAGGATTTATTGCAGTTTTAGTTGAAGTTTTGTCAGTTTTTTGCTACTTATACCTCAAAGCGTTACCGATTACTTTGAAATTCGGTCACTATTTTTAAAATAACGGTTACATGAGTGTTCTGCTATGTAATACCAACAATTTTTGTTATAATTATTTTATCGGTACTGTACAGTTTTTATTTTATAGACCAAAATAGTGATTTGCTACTTAAAGCGTGATTTGAATTGGCTTATGCCAATGGCGTTGAAACGACCTTCAAAGTGGAGGGGGTCAATCCCTCAATTTCTGAAATAAAATCCATAATTTCTAAAATAATTGCGTATATTTCTAAAACAAAAGGTCCTCGCAAAAAAAACTGGGCAGGCCATGGCTCCCTTGACGGCCATGTATGCATAGCATGATTATACCAACATTCCCTAAAGTATGTAAGATGATGATGCAAGAATGCCAGATGTAAGATGCCAGATGCCAGAATGATGCCAGAAAGATGCCAGATACAAGAATGCTAGATGTAAGATGCCAGATGCAAGATGTCAGAATGCAAAAAAAATTCTAAAAAAATGGTTAAGAAGGATTTCTAGGAATACCTACATAGAAAATAAAAATATTTATTTATCTAAAAACAGAACATCTGTAAAAAAACCAAATATTTTTTATATTGACAAAGATAATTGACTTAAAAAATTTAGTTAACTAAGATATCTGACCAATACAAAGTTTGGAGGGCCAGTCGGAGAAAAATTACTCTAACTGAATAACTAATTAGGTTGAAGGGTTGTTTTGAAATAAGGGTTGTTTTGCGACAAGTATCATTAGTTTAATAAGTGTGACAATTATCAATAATGTAATTTCCTTACAAGTAAATAGTTTAAACAATCGTTTCCTGGTAAGGAAAGAACGATTCAAGAATTATTTCCTTGTAATTTAATATTACCTCAATTAAATCAAGTAAATATTTCCTTTATTTTAATAGTTTTTAATTAATAATATGTGTTACTATTGTTATCAAATATAAATTAAGGTCAAATTTTGTAAAAGGCAGAGTTTGATTTAGTGAAGTCAAATTTAATAAATTGCCACGATGCCAAATCAAGCAAAGAATCATGATGAAAATCGAAAGTTTGTGTTCTTGCTCTGTCTGAAAAAATGTTTAAGACAACTTATTACTTTTAAAGCAGATCGAATAAGCCAACTGTACAAGACCAAGATCAATACAGTGATAGTCGGGTACCAAAAGGGTTCTGCAAATCGTGTAGAATTACTTTGCGCAGGAAACAAGAGGGGAAAGAAGATGCAATCCCTTCTTTGTTTGATTTTAATTCAATACAAGTGAGACCTGAAACAAGAGGCACGATGTGTATATGTCAAATTGGTCGTTCAAAGCTGCAAGAAAAACATCCTCTTATAGAGCAAACCACTATTGAGAAAAAACCAAAGGTGCGTTGCAGCAAATGCCTCAGCCTTTTAAGAAAAGGTTTGCCCCACCAATGCTCTCAAATAATGTTAAGGGAAAAAATTCAATCTTTAGCAGCAAAAGATGCCAAATCATCCGAACAAATCGCATCTTGAGTTATTTCCAATAAAGAATTTTCTCCGGAAGGAACTATTCTACTGGCTGAGCATACGGCGGGCCTCCCTGGTAAATATTTATAATTTTAACATATATATTGAAATAAAGTCTTGATTATTAAGAAACAACACTAGATAGATTTCAAGAAGTATATTTTTGACAAGTTTCTAATTTCTTTAAAAACGCAATAATTTATCAAGTTTTGTGAATCATATTATTCAGTCCCGCAAAATTTCTGATGGCTATTTTGTTAAACTCGGAACTGATGGTGGCAAAGGTTTTCTCAAGTTTTGCCTAGGCATTGTTGATACTGCGTTAAGGGATGAAATCAGCTCACCGCACCAACAACCACCTCTCACTCAAAGGACTGGTAAAGACACTGGAGTCAAGAGACAAATTATTGTTGGGGTTTCAGAAGATTTGCCAGAAACACACTCCAATATTGAACAAATCTGGTCACTGATTAATTCAAATGGAATTAAACTAATTTTGGCTTGTGATATAAAAGTTGCAAATATAGTTTGTGCTCTTCAAACTCATTTAAGTACGCACCCTTGCACCTGGTATGACGTCAAATCCAATTTTTTTGCCAAATCTGGAAACTTGCGAATACTGGGCTCAATTAATTCAAGCCTCGAGTCTTTTCAGAAATCCGACGGGGTTGTTGCTAATGCAAAGCTGTTTGACAATGTCATTCGAAAACCAATCATCTGCGGGACTGTCAATGTTCTGATTTTGGAAATCATTCCACCAATGGAATTGCATCTCCTCTTAGCAGTTGTCAATCATCTTTTCAAGATCCTTAAAACTGCTTTAATAGAAGCTGTTAAGTAGCCAGCCGCCCTATACATTTAACTGAGCCCGTATCACGGGGACCAGTTTGAGGGAAATGAATGCAGGAAGCTTTTTAAAAATGTGGATATGCTGCAGCAACTTGCTGAGACAAACATGGTTCCCAATATTGTGTGGATAATTGAAGCATTCAAAAGCTTTAATTTGCTTTGGATATATCCTTCAGCCGGATTTTACTGAAAAAATTGAAAATTTCAAAAATTTTTACCTAATGATAACTGGTGCAAGCGTAACACCCAAAATTCACGCCGTCTTCTACCACATCAAGGATTTCATCAGTCACAAAAGATCCCCCTCGGGGCCCTATAGTGAACAAACTGTCGAAACTTCTCATCAAGATTTTTATCAACATTGGTCGAGGTATAAGCGAAATAATAATCATCCAGAGTACAAAGAAAGATTGTTGCGCTGCATAATTGATCTAAACAGTAAGCATCTTTAAAGAACATCATTTGAGTTATTAGAAATTAGGCTGCTCAAATTCATATTTTACGGCGTATAATGAATATTTTCACCATCTTTAAAATTAGTATTATAGAGTATTTGTATTAAAAAAGTACATTGAGCTATTTATTAATAATCTTTTGGTGAAGAAAATAAAAAAAACATTTCTTAAAATGTAATTAGATATTTGATGGTAATACAATGTAAAAAATAGGGTTTAAATAGTTTTCACTTTATTTTAAATGTAAATGTATTTAAGGAGGTCAATACAAAATATTTTAGGAGTCTACTTTTTTTTTGTTTTACTAACTGGTAGTCCTTTGACCATGTTTTGAATTTTTTTTAGCATTTTTTTTTTTTTTACCTTTTTTTTACCGACCGTAACAACTACATGAAAAAAATTATTCCTTATTAAACTATCGGTTATGTATTTCATTAATTTTTTTTTCTTTTGTTTACTCGATGCTTTTGAT